ACTACATATACATATCACCCTCTGTTACTAGAAAAAGAAAAAGCTTCATTAATCAAATCAGGATTATAACTCATTAAAGGCTATCAGTCAGGCTTGGAGTTCTAAACATAAAGCCATTGTTTTCATTAGAGCAGAACAGATAACCACTGAAAAAGCTGTTCTTCAGCTACAAAATGGGCTGCACTGGAGGGTCTCAGCACTTTCAAGGGCACTGCCTTTCTTCTGAGTCTCTCTAGGGTCACTATGGCTACCTTCAGAAAAAGGCACGCACCTGAACACCTGGGAGATAGAGTTCAAGGACCCTCCTGCCACATGTATTACCCATACTCTAACTCACCAGTTTTAAGAGCATACTACGCCACCCACTGAAAAATACCGAAAGAAGCAGGCCTAGTACACAAACACACACAACTAGCCTTGTTGCCCTTGTAAATGGCTTGCCTTGACAGGGCCAGCACACTGCTGTAGGCCCTGCCTGGATGGCCCAGCTCCCCAGCCCTGCTCCCAGGCTTCCGAGAGCCGCTCCTGCATCCCAGCATGGGACACGTGGGGTCTGCCGCAGACTCCGTGGTTGTCTAGGCCTCTTTACCCTGCGAGGGCCCCGGCATCGACAGCAGCTATTTCTCGGTTGCTGGACCCCATTCTTGGGCGCCCCTCCGGCCTCCCGCAGCACAATCCCCCAAAAAGGCGTCCCGGCCACGCACCTCCAAGCTCTGCAGCCTCGCTGATCAAGGGACGGCTGCTCCTTCGGGCCAGCGGGGCTCCCGCCCGCAGGGCTGGCCGGCTCAGCCCAGGCCATTCGGGACACCACAGGCTCGTTCGCGACCCGCCGGTTCCACGCGATGTTGCAGCAACGGCCCCGGCACTCCTCAGCAGCAGTGCAGGCCGCGCCGTGCCCCGCAGGGGTCCAACACCTTGGCTGCCGGCCCCGAGCGAAGTGCAGACTCCCGCGTCCTCCTACAAGCTCCGCAGCCGGCCGGCACCAGAACGGCGCTGCCGTTCCGCCGGGCTCGGCCGCACTTCCCTCCAAGGGGCGGCCTACGGTGCGCTCTCGAACACAGCGCCGGCCGCAGCGGCACCCACCAGGTGAAGTGGCCCCTAGCGCTTCCGAGGCGCGCACCGCAAACCACTCGGCCGCCTCGGCAGCGAGCTCTACGCCTTTGGACGCGGGCCAGGCGGCGGCAGGGCCCGCAAAAGCGGGGGAGCGGAAGCTCCGCCCCGCGGGGGTCCATCTCGCCTCCCCCCCCCCCCCCCCTTCTGCAGCGGCGCCGTAAGACGACGTGGACAGGAAGAGCCTTATTTGGGTAGCGGAAGTGCCTTAAAAGGCACGGAGGAAGCGCCAAATATGGGCAGCGTTGTTCCGGCCGCCGCGGGAGTGGCACTTTCGTTCTGCCCTGGCCGCTCCGCGACCACGTGACGCGGCCCCGCCAGCGGCAGGGGACGGAGCCAGGAGGCGGGGCGGAGCCAGGAGGCGGGGTGGGGGCGAAGCAGCGAGGTGACTCCTTCCCGCGGCTCGGGCCCGCGTGTGCCGTGCTGAGCGGCCGGGGGACGCTCCCTCAGCGCTTGTCCCTGGGAGCAGCTGGGTCGCCGCCAGCGGTGACGCGCGACTTTTCGTGTAGCTAATGCTCAGATCTGGAGCTTGGCTCTGAATCGCAAGCAGCTGCTGGCTCGTTCAGACGAATGGATCGTGAGCCGCTGAGGAGGGAGGGCGAGAGACCCCCACTGGCTCCTGCCACACACCAGCACTCTGGCAAGCCTGAGCCCATGGCGGCACTTGCCCTTGCCCCATGAGCAGCCGCCCAGCCACCATTCTCGAGTGGCATTGCCTCCACGAGGACGTTCTTCCTACTCAGCCCGAGGAACAAATGCTTCCAGAATCAAAAATCCAATGCTGTGCAGACTAGTGATGGACAAAAGACTCAACTGAAAATGTACAGCAAGTGCATGCCTCAGTCCTGAAAACCCCTTCACAAAAGCCAGGGAACAAGCAGCAATGAAAGACTTCATGTTTTCTAGGCTTTACTTTACAAACAGGGATAGCAATGCAAAGCAAAAGTTGCAGCAATGTTGATTAAGTGCCAAACTTCAAAGTATGAGCCTCTTCTAGGAGGTTACATCAAAGGGCATTCCTGGGGAAAAAAAAAAAAAAAAAAAAGCCCCTTGTTGGCACAGGTCAATGCTTTTTACAGAATAAATTTGTTGGCTTGCTTTCCCCAAGATGGAACCCCCAAGGTGTCAAGGAGCTTCCTGCAATGAGACTCAGCTCACATCAGCCACCCCAAACAGAAGGGAAGCATCATTTGCTGTTTGCAAGCCCTATGGAACAGCTGCAGGAGAGGGAGGGGTGCTGCTCCAAGGGGTGCACAAGGCAGGTGCCTGTAACTGCAGGATACCAGTCTTCTTTCAGACAGGGGTGTCAGGAGCATCCTCCAGAGGAGATCTAGGGAGGTAAGTCCTGGGAGGGAGGTGAGCAAGTTTCCAGAGACCTCCACAACTTCAAAGGCCCTACTACTGCAAACTGGAGAAACTACAGAGCAGAGGATCTTTGCTTTCAGCCAATGAGATGCCTTTCAACCTCCCCCCCACAACCTCTTCACTACTGATTTGGCACTCACAGGCAACTCATGTGCAGGGAAGGCTGACCACATGTGAAGCACACAGCCTGCTGCTAAGAACATTGCTCTGGCCATCACCCTGCCTCAGCCTGCAGTGCTGTCTGGCTCAGTCCCCTTTGCACATAGCACACAGGAATAACTGCCCTTGGAAGTTACATTTGCAATTGCTGTTTGTGTGTCTGTGACATGCTGTAGCTAGCCTCAGCCAGGCCAAGGCTCATGCAGCTGTATGGGAGTCCGGATGGCCTCAGTGCAACTGCAGTCCCAGCAGGCTGGACTAGGAGTCAGCCTAGACAAGATTAAACAACATAGTAACTTCTAAGCCAAACTGCACCCTCAGATCAGGAGAGGTTTGGGCTGGCTCCAACTATTTGCTTTGCTGTTGCCTTTGAGACCTGGAGTCAGGATAAAGTTTTGTAGTTAGATCAACATGATGTGCTCTCTTCTTCAAGGCATCAAACTTGAAGGCATTTATTTATAGTCTTCTCTCCCCAAAGTAGGTTTCTATGGCATCTGACGTGAGTTACATGGTCAGCTTGCCCAGACTGTTTGACAGCAGCCTCTTCATTCAAGACAGGCTAGTGCTTTCCTCAGGAAAGGCCCCACAGTTCCTGCACCCTACAGAACAGGCAAGCTGTGGAGCAGCACACAGAATACCCAAACCATGCCCTGCACAGTGGGCACCACCCAGCACAGATGGAGCAGCACCATCCCTTCCCCATGTCTTGTCCCAACTCTCCTGGGCCAGTCCTACCTATCAGAAAATTGTCTGGGACTTACCAACTGCTCTGTTCTGTTATAAGCTTGTTAGTGCTGCCATTTGTCAGGGTTTACCACGACAGGGTTGTCATGTTACCCCACGACAGGGTTTACCATGCCATTTGTCAGGGTTTACCAGGGTTTGCCATTTGGCAGCATTTACAAAAAACAAAAACAAACCCCTGGCTCGCTCCAAAATGTTACAGTTTCTAGCCAGCAACTCACTGCCTCCTCTAGAGACCGCTGACTGGCTAGCACTGTGCCAAATGCCTTTGTCAAGTCTAACATCTGCATCCCAGCCCATCGCAACTGTTAACATCAGTGCATCAGTGGTCTGCAGAGAGTCCTTCTGAAAGAACCAGCAGGTTTCCTGAAAAAAAGTAGGACTACTCTCTATATCTGCAATGCTAGTTCCCACAATGCTAGGTCTCTTCAGAGTTTGCTCCATACAAATTACATCAGCAAGACTTCACAAAAAGTCACTGAGACTTTTAACCTTAAAAACTTATGTCACATGTGAGTGTCTCATCAACCTATAAAGGCTGAAAGAACTCTTCTAAAACTTGTTGGCCACTTGGGCTTCTGCGCCTTATGCTGAGTCAAAGAAGCCCCTATGACAGCCCCCAGCTGACAAGGGCTACTTGCTATTCACCAGGCATGCAGCCAGAACACATAGTAGTTCCAGGCTCTGTTATCTTGCCCCCTCCCTCTGAGCACCAAGTTAGCTTTCTCCTCTTCTCCAACTGAGATTCTAGTTTTCAAACCTTATTTTCAGTACTGGAACAGCAGTCTGTGTTTTGCCTACATGCTTACGGAGAAGCCGTAAGGGAGAAACCATGGCTGCCTCACAAATAGTTGTTAATGCACCTAATGCAAACATGCATCCTTCATCCATGCCTTGGATGGCAACTGGACTCAAGAGTGCTGGAAGTATCTGCTCTCTGCCCCCCCCCCCCGGCTTTTTTTTTAAGTATTTCTCCAAGCAATACCTGTTACTTTCCAGCCACTGAAGCTGTGAGGATTGCTGCAGCATAATCTTTTTATGCAGAAGCATACAGAAAAATGCAAAAAAAAAAAAAAAAAAAAAAAAAAA